ATGTCAGTCAACATAAACATGTACATAAAGGAAGCATTTCTGATGGTGATGTTGATCATTTTTCCCAGCAGTGACCTGATGTTATGAGTACTACCATCTGGAAGCATTAAACAAGTCCTATCCAGTCTAATTTAGCAGTGAAAAATGTAAGGTATTCACCGAGGAAACGCTCAACCAGTCGGTTCGACTATTTTGGATGAAATCCTGTTTTTATCACATGAGCAACCTACATGTACATGCATAACATGTAGACTCTGTCATGTCTGTATGACTGGACTGATACCAGCAGGGCAGGCGACACGCACTGTGCAGGTTAAACAACCCAAACCTGTGAAAATAGTCAAACCGATGCATGTGGAACTCACAGTGGCCTATGGTGCCGGAAGAAAATGGACAATTGATGAGCAACACCTCAGATTTTTCAAAATACTACCGGTAACTAGTGTACATGTACATATGTCCCGGGCATTATACTCCTCAAGTATAGTCAAAAGGCCAGCGTTAACTTACAGGTACACTGTTTTCTAGAGCTACTATAAAATAAAAATAGTTTTTTTTATAGGTACATGTACCTCACGGTTGATGTCAAGAGAAAATCTGATTGAAAAAGCAGAATAAGGGTCATCGGTACGGTACAGTCATAAGCATGAATCAAGTTAAGCACAGGCTAGATTCAAGAAAGTAAACTGAAACTGATGGATCATATCAATTCCTTGCAATACAGAAAGGACTCCTCCAAAAACTACTGTACGCTAATCTTTTGATCTTCTGCCGTGAGCCTTAACAGAACTGCCCAAAGGGCCCAAACCCAGTGTGGACAAAACGGACGATACCAGGGCAGACTCATACAGTATTGTGCAATGTGTTACATGCAGCAACAGGTACAAGACTTCAAAACCCATGCTCCTTTTAAGTCAACTTCATTGTAAAATCAGTGATTCTTAGTAATATATGGTAGTTGTTGAAAATGCACAGTGATCACAAAAGAGGACTTACATGTGTTACATGTACTAACAGAATTATTCCCATGCACTCGCAAATCCTGTCTCAATGCAACATGGCTACCACATGCACGCACATGCGGATACGTACGCCATGCACATGTACACATGGAAGCCAATGGCTGAATGCACAATCTAAACTGTAATTTCATTGGAAGCAAAACTGTGTTTCCATAGACAGGGTGAAAGAGTGGCCAATCAAAAAATTTTTTACATGTTCAGTTAGCTATTGAATAGAAGAAACTACCCTGCATTTGAGAAGAACAAATGGTGGCGATAGCCTGAGTTATGGCGGGTTGAAGTTGGGAAGTTGAGCAGAAAGAGAGCATAAACGGTGAACTTACACGTAAAATTACAACAAAACAAGACGAAACTCTAATGTTGAACTACAACATGGCAGAGTTAAATCAATGAATTTTGCCAACTTACAAAGATTTTTCAAAAGGAACGTGAAGTTCATAATGCTCAACTGAGGAAGCAAATGTTTGACGAATTTCTGGGTTGTGGTAGAAAAACTAGAAATGAACACCGATTTTTCATGGGTCTTTATGTATGAAAAAGCTACATGTACATGTACGTGGTTCAGCAGCGCATTGAAAATGAGCACCAAGGAACTGAGCATTACGGCCCTACATGTATGTAAACAAAAATGGCAGCAAGTCACACAAAATAACGTACATACACATGTATGTGTACATGTATGTCGGCTACATATATGTACATATACACCATAACCATTATGTTAGAGCACAATTAAGGAAACAGATTAGGCCGGGCATGCTGGGCCTTCATGTCACTGCATCATGCATAAATGCACTACATGTACTACTAAAAGAGCAAGACCCATGTACCTGTATAAGGCCACACGTACCTAACCCGTCCAAGAAAACTACTTCATCTCACGTGTACGATACAACGTGACATGGAGAGGAATGTCTTTGCATGATCCCGTAAATAACCTTTTTATCTGGATTTACAATTATGGGGCTTAACCTACCTTCATGGCAGCAAATGTTCCCAGCCTTCATGACCTTATTTTTTATCGTGTCCCGCTTTCTCGTTTTGGGCATGCCGCCACAACATTTACCAATATTTAGCGCCCTCTATTGAAAAAAATATAGCGCCCTCTGTTGAATCAATATTTACCGCCCTCTGTTGGCGAAGTGAGTGGCGCCCTCTGTAGAATGAAATACTGAGATGGCAAATTTTATATAGCGCCCTCTGTAGGCTTGTAGTTGCCAACGTTAACTTATTGGCAACAGCGCCCCCATGGTTCCATCGAACTGGTTGCAATTTTGAGTATGGCGCCCTCTAGAAAAATGTAAAAGGTTTGTAAAAAAATTCAATAGCCCCCTCTATTGACCTCATGATCAAAACTAATCAGCATTTTTTTACTCAAAGAAAAAGGAAGTAAATTAAGACCCACAGCCCTCCCCAAAATTTTTCGTCTGTGCTTAGCACGAGTCGATTTCATGTATATGTGTCAACCTTTTTCCTCTTTGTAAGAGCTGCAACAGTGCCATCTATTGCAGCACCGCCTCATTATTATTATTATTTCTTTTTGCTGGAGCTCGATCTGTTACTCAAAGTGACGGATCGCAACGAGATCAATATTGAACAATGATAGCAGGCTATGGATGCAAAGTTGTTTGTCGTCAGGTAATCATAATAAACCTGGTCTAGTTCCAACCCGGGGGGGTGGAGTCTCTGCATCAATTCCGGAACATAAATCTTACCAGAGAAAGCTTTTTTTTTACTATTAAAAGGCTTCTATCAACTAATTCACGTTTTCATTTCATCAACAGTAAAAGAATAACGCAAGCTCCAAAAGAAAGCTCTCGGACATAAACTAAAAAGCTAAAAACAAACAAACACGTTTAATTAATTAAGAAATAAAATCTGAGGATCGGCTCACAGGCGTCAACATATATTGCTATTATTCAAATCAGACATCTGATTGTTCCAGACGGTAAGGAAGCCCGACGAAACCCGACACAAGGTTCCAAGACAACTGCAAAGCCCCATAGTCGGGTGCTGGATGGTTTCCTCGTCCAAAAAGAAACGGAAAAAAATGCTCAGAATTTTGCATATCGGTTTTAAAACAAACATTCAATCTCCCAGCCTGTCCCTGCTTGTGCTTCACACGAACCCCACCGCTACACAGGAATTTATGGCAGGTTAGTTTGGCAATTTCAGGTAGTTTTATTAATTGCCAAGGGATTCAAACAGTTTTGCGGTGGGACTTTACTACAAACTGTGAGACACGGTAAGAAACAAGAACATTTAACTTGTCAAGGGACATTACTGAGAATTTATTGACTGCGCTCGACACCACTAAATTTGGCACTTTAATTTGAAAATCAAAGACGAAAAATTACAAACTACATTGTACAAAGGGCATTCAAGAAAAACATTCTTATCTGCCCTATAGTCTTTTTAGAGGTTTATGCTGTAACCATGCTCTGATTGTAACACATCGTCTGATAGGATAAGAGAATGTTGATACCCATCACATGAGAATTTAATCAACAAATAATGGACGTCACAATGACGTAAAATAATAAGTCACAAAATTCTCGCAAATACCACTTCTAGATTACATCATTTTTAAACTTCCAAATTAATAATGTATTTTATTAAACAAGAATGAGTTTTTAAGGTCAACTACTATTCATGATGACTTTGACAATTTCAAAGTGTTTTTTAGGGAAGTGTCCATTTTCTGACCTGCTTGGCATAATACTCTTTGGATTAGAAAAACGCCCAAAATGTTGAGTGTTCATGTCAAAACCAATTCCCAAAAAGGTAACATAGCTACAAACTCAATTTGTCATTACACATGTACAGAGATCTATTTGGAGACCAAAAGGTTTTAGGGCAGAGGTTAAGGAGCATGATGCAAACTTCTGTTCAAATATTTTGTGCGTCATTTTTGACAGTTTGTTTTAAAGAATTCCAATCAAGCAGCCTTGTGTTCCTCAAAGTAGACGCCGTTGCTTGGTGTGTGTTGCCATGGAGACGTCATCGGTGATATTCATCATCCAGCACATGCTCAACCCACTGTAAAGCATCCACGCATTTTCTTCGGTTGGCGCTCATGTACTGACCAGATATATGTATCAAAAAATAAAAAGAACAATTCACTACAACAATATGGAACAACAAGACGGTACTTTTCAATTTATAGAGGAGACTCAATACTCCTGCAAGATATTAAACATGCTCATTCCTTTTTTTAAGTGGGGGGTTGGGCTTTGACATTTAAATTTGCCCAGGAAAGAATTGATTTTCTGCTACCTTTTGCTGATATCGTGTCTAAATGAATGGATTTAACTCGTGAATAGTTATCACATGTTGCGAGAAAAAAAACTCAAAGTGCCTTCAAGAATGACCCCCCAAGCCATCCGAAAGCGGCCACTGAGGGTAAAGGGAATCCTGAGGATTGTGAAGTTTATTGTTTTCACTCTGCCCAAAACCCCTTAATACTTGAACAATATAAAACATACATACCACCAATCCACTCTGCAAGCCTTTGCCTTGGTGTTACCATGGTGATCACGGGCCTCATCGGTCAGTGAACGTATATGGCCTCTTGCCACTTTACCCAACAAGGAGTCTAGTCTCAAAGCCAAGGTCTTCTTTGTTTTAAAACAAACAAAAGAAAAGCATACACATCTTCAGACGAAATGCACCTGTCTGCTTGGACCAAATTCTTATAAAGAGGGCATGTTTGACAGGACAAGTATTGTGATTTATTCTGTTGCCTTTTTAGCAAGTCATTACAAACTTTGACCATAGCTCATTTTTAAGACAAATGTAAAATTGCTCACCTCCTACAAAGACAACTAGTTCGGGGCACACAATGATCAAATGATTTGGTAAATATTGCCTATACAAACGAAACTAATGAATACCACTTCACTGTAAGGTTAAGGAAATGTAGGTGGAAATTTGTGCATAAGCAACAAACAGAGAGCAGTTGGAGGCTTAATGATCTAGGTTTTTTTCCGGGGGATGGGGGAGCAAGACGCCCGCACTGCATCTGATGCTGCTGTGACTTAGTTGCAATTCACAAGGACAAAATTAAATACCAGCACGAAGGTAGAGGATTTGATTAATGCGTCCATAATGTACCACTTCATAGTTCCTCATTGTCTGTCATAATGAAAAAGAACTTTCTGAGTGAAAGGCATTTCACTTTGAGCAAATTTTCTTTCTTAATTTTGATAATGAGTTCACAGAATATATATTGAAAATGTAGACATTATATTTTGAAAATCAATCATATCTCTAGGTTTTCTCAGTAGAGACTGATTTTTAAAAAAAATTTGGAATAAGTAGAGAACTTTACAGTCAGCAGTCTGATGGAACGAAGCAAGAATTAAGTGATGTCGAGGTGTGGCGATGGGCAACGAATGCCACTTTCAAAGGGTTCACTATTCCAATTCTGGAATGAAGTTTTACTTTAAACAATTTTTTGATGATAAGCAAAAGAACAAAGAAAGTTGTCTCGATAAATTACATTGATAAGTAGTCACATGCTCACCTTTGACGCTGAAGTTAAAGGAATATCCTGGTAAGGTTAGTT